AAGTAACGTATCCAATTGTATTACAAAATGTCAAGTAGTTTAGGTGGCAATGCAAAAAACAATTTTTATTTTGTAACTTCAAAGGGCTGTAACTTTTTTTGTGTACACTTTTGTACTTATGTAAGTTGGATTCAATTCATTTATTTTTGTCCCCGGAATGCGTGATTTAATTTATGACATACCTTTTAGAAACACCCTGTATAAAACTACACCCAGAATTGAATTAAAGTGAACTTATTTGATGTGTTTTTGAAGCTGCTAAGTAGACCTTCAACAAAAAACAACATCGACAGATAGTCAATCAAAAAAGAAAATGGCTGTTTGTCAAATGCGTGGGAATAGAAGTTCTTGCCTGATACTTTGAACCGCAATTGGAAAGTAAAGAAAAAGTCGGAATATTCTTAATAACAATAGACATAGAAAGAATCATTATATGTGGGAAACGGGGAGGAATATTAAATGATTACTTATACAAAAATTGTAGAACAACAACAAAATATAACAGGGAACAATTTAGCTAACAGAAGAGAGTCTCCAATATATCTTCTTTTTCTTAACGTGCCCCATCCCTAAGGACATTGGCGATCATCATGGCCCATTTGAATCTATCTGCAGCCATTCTGAAAAGTTCTATTGACATTTTCCCACTCCATTGTCTCAGATTCTTCAACCAGGACGTGCGTCTTCTCCCCGGTCCTCTTTTGCCTTCCACCTTCCCTTGTATGACCAGCCGCATCAATTCGTATTTCTCGTTTCTTAGTATGTGACCAAAGTAGCTCATTTTTTCTTTTCTTTATAGTGTTGAGTATTTCTTTATCTTTTTTCATTCTTCGTAGCGTTTCCGCATTTGTTATGTGGTGTGTCCAAGATATTTTCCACATTCTTCGATAACACCACATTTCAAAGTTAATGAGTCTTTTCCCTGTCGCCTCTGTAATTGTCCAGGCCTCAACTCCATACAACAGGCCAGAGAACACGTGGCATCTCAATACTTTAGTTCTAATTTCAATGTTGAGTTTTTCATTGCATAATATTGCTTTTATCTTATCAAAAACACTTCTAGCTATCTCAATACGCCGTTTTATTTCCGTACTTCTATCCCATTCTTCATTTAGTTCGCAACCTAAGTACTGACATCTGTGCACCATGCCTAAAAGTTTTCCTTTAGCATAAACACTGTCTTCCTCAATCTTGTTCTTGGTTACCACCATGATTTTTGTTTTATTTGTATTCAGTGCCATTCCATACCTTTCGCAGTATTGGGTAATGCGATCAACCAAGATCTGTAGTCCTTTCAAAAGAGAAAATAGATCAAAAAGAGAAATAGTAAAGACCATCTTCCCCTCATATTCTTGAACCCATAAAGTTGGGATTCAAGAGCGCACGGAGTGCCAGTCCTCGTGCCAAACTTGCTAGTTCAAACGCCGTCGAAGGTTGGCGTGTCGGAATGTGCTCGAGCCATTCCCATGGCGCGTGCAGGATCGCGGTTTTAGTCTATTATACTCCAGCAGTGCTGGCGGTAAAATTTTAACTTTTTCTTCTTCTAGTGCCGTCTCTAGTAATGAAGGTTGGCTATAACCATTGCAAATTCGTCTCTATCTTCTGCTTTTCTTAAGAGCGTCTGTGTGTTTAATAACGCACCGGTCCAGTCGCGAATGTTTTTCAGCCAGGATATTTGTCGTCTACCAGGACCCCTTTTAACTTCGATTTTACCGTTCATAATCAGCTGCAACAACTCGTACTTATCATTTCTAAGTATGTGCCCCAAATATGCTATCTTTCGCCTTTTAATGGTGGTCAAAAGTTCTCTGTCTCTTCCCATTCTGTGCAACACCATTTCGTTAGTAATATGATCGGTCCATGGCATGCATCTTCAAAATTCTCCTAAAAAGCCACATCTCAAAGCATTCAGTTTTATCATTCATCATCATCACTGGCTCGACAACCCTTTTTGGTCTTGGCCTGTTCAAGGATTCTTCTCCATTCTGACCTGTTTCGTGCTTTTTTTCCAGTTTTTAATTTTTAATGTTGTTATATCATTTTCTATTTGTTCTACGTATCTCAGCTTCGGTCTTCCTCTTGTTCTTTTTCCTACTGGCACTTGTTTGAATATTTTGTTTGGTATTTCGCCTTCTTCCATTCTTTCCACATGTCCAATCCAACGTAGCCTTCTATTTTAATGAATGTTATGATATCCGGATCCTGGTATATGTTGTATAGTTCAAAGTTATACCTTCTCCGCCAAATCCCGTTTTCTTTTGTGCCCTTATATATGTGTCGCAAGATTTTTCTTTCAAAGGAAGGTAATAACGTTTCCTCCCTTTTAGAGAGTGTCCAGGTTTCTGAACCGTATGTGAGTACCGGTCTTATTAATGTGTTGTATATTTGGCATTTTGTTTTTCTGGAGACGTTATCTGATCTTAGTTGCCTAATTAAGCCATGGTAACATTTATTGGCAATAAATATTCTCCTCTTCACTTCCTCTGCAACGTTGTTATCAGACGTAACTAGGGATCCTAAGTATGTAAAGTTTTTTACCGCCTCAATGTTGTATTCTTCTATTGGTAAATTTGGCAGCTACCTTATTTGTGCGTTTTTATTTGCAGACATATATTTTGTTTTTGTCTGATTGATTTTAAGACCACTATTTTTTGCAGCTCGTTCTATTTGAGTGAATGCCTCTATCATTTCTCTTCTTGATCTTGCGATTATGTCAACATCATCTGCAAATGCTAGTACTTGCACGCTTTTATTAATTATTGTTCCTCGGGTATTAACTGTTGTGTCTCTTATTATTTTTTCAAGTATGATGTTGAATAATATGCATGATAGAGCGTCTCCCTGCGTAGTCCCTTCTTCACATCTATTGTTTCCGTTAATTCGTTTGTATCCGGATTTTACATTCTACTTTTAGTGTTTCTTTATCAATTCTATTAGCTGTGTTGGTATATTAAATTCTTTCATTGCTTTTGTTAGGAATTCTCGGTTTATATTGTCATATGCGCTTCGAAGTCTATGAAGAGATGATGTGTGTCGATGTTATATTCACTTGTTTTTTCAAGGATCTGTCGCAGAACAAATATCTGGTCTATTGTTGACTTCTGTCTACAGAAGCCACATTGGTATTTGCCAACTATTTTTTCAGCGTATGGTCTAAGTCTTTCATACATTACGTTGGCCATTATTTTGTATGCCGCATTCAACAGCGTGATTCCACGGTAGTTTTCACATTCTAACTGGTTTCCTTTTTTATGTAGTGGTACAATAATGCCGCTATTCCACTCCTTTGGTAGCTGTTTATTCAACCATATCTTTCTTATCAGCTCATGTATGGCTTTAAGTAATGCGTCTGCTCCTTCTTTCAGTAGCTCCGATGATATTTGATCCGATCCCGGTGATTTATTGTTCTTTAATTTGTCCACTGCTGTTCTAATCTCTGCTATTGTTGGTGGACTCTTTTCTCTGTTGTCTGCTTGGTCTAATGGTATATCAGGGTTCATCTCCGTCCTATTCACCCCAAGCTTGCTGTTCTGTCAATATATTACCCTCCTTATCTTTATATATCGTTGTTCTCGGTTTGAACTCTTTTCTGCTTTTGTTGAGTTTCTGGTAAAATTTTCTTGTCTCTGTTGGTTTACTTAGTTCTTGTAGTTCTTGAAGTTCTTTGTTGATATATTCTCTCTTCTTTCTTCGGTAAATTTTCTTTTCTTCTTTACGTAGTTGTTTATATTCTTCCTCTGCTTCGTCGGTTCTGTGCCTCTGTTGCGTCTGTAGATATGCTCTGTTTTTTCTTTCTGTTATAGTTTGACATTCTTCGTCAAACCAGTGATTCGTTCTTGTTCTTCTTTCCTTACCTTCCATGCCCAACACCTCTTTAGCTGTTTCTTTTATGATTTCTCTGCACTCTTCCCACTAGTCATTTAGGTTTTCATGTTTTGGTCTGTTTTCTAGTTTGATGCTTATATTTTCTTTGTACTCTCTATTTTTGTTTGTTTCTTTGATCCTTCCAGTTTGAGTCCAGTTTTATCATTAAGTCAACATTAAGAGTCCAGGCTTCGACACCATAAAGAAGAATAGAGTGGATATAACATTTTAGCATTCGACATCAGATTTGCAGATTCAGTCTTTGGTTACTCAGAAATTTCGTCATCTTCAAAAAGGCTGCTCTTGATTGCTCTATTCTTGAGCGAATTTCTGATTTCGGATTCATATTTTCCGTAATCCAGACTCCTAAGTACTTTATTTTGTCCACTTGCTCAATATCTTCATTTTTTATCTGGATCCTAGTAATGACTTTGACCCTCTTACTGTTAACCATGGTTTTTGTTTTCTTTAATTTCTTTAATTCCTTTTAAAAATCGATGCATGAATTCATAGGCGAACGACTCTGGTTTTGAACACCGCATCAGTGCAATTCTCGTTTTTGAGGATGCTTTTACCTTCTGCAATAATTTTCTAAAAGTTCTTATCAATGTACCTTTCTTTTTTTAGATCTGCTATTGAATATTTCATACTCATTTGCTCTTTAATTCGCTTCCAGGCATCACGAATTAAATTTATATTTTTACATAAATACCCACGGGTTTAAATCCCGTGGGTTCCAAATAATGGACCCGGTTTCATAAAGTATAAAAAATCTAAAATCACTTAATTACACCACTCAGTACTGAAAGTACCAAGACACTGAAAGTATCAACCCCATCATCAATCAGTGCGGTATATACCCATTAAGCGCCAGATTCCGAGCTCCTTTGACCGTGATAATTTACCGACACAGGAGCTAATAAGAGCTAGATATTTCTTAAAACGCATAGTTTATATTTGATTTGATGTATTGAATTTTAACTAATAATATCATCTGACTTTATGTGTAGTGGTAAAATTCTTCAAATCAAATGATAGATTTAATTCATCTAGTGCTATACCTTAACTGAAATTAATTTAGATAAATATTGAAAGTGGGAACAGAAAAAAGTAGTTATAAAATTAATGGTACTTACCTCTTGTATTTGTCGCTGAATCGGCAATCTTTTGAAAGGAATCCAAATAAGCTGTGACTGCCAAAATAGTTGCTCTAAGGATAAAAAAATATATATAAGCATCTAATATTAGTGTTTATTTAAAATCAAATAAAATTGTATAATATTATAGTAAAAAAATGTAATGGAATGTTTCGAACGATAGACGGAAAAGCAATACTGAATAAAGTGATCTGACGCACCAAACATTAAATCATTTGACACACGCGGGGATATGAGCAACACCCAGATGCTTCTAGACCAGGGTTTCCCAACCTTTTCTTTGTTGGGGCTCCCCGGACTATAAATTAAATTTTCATGCCCCCCCTTTACTTTTTTAATAAATAAAAACAAAAAACGCACATTATATACTTAAAATTTTATTTTAATTCTAATAAAACAAATTTTAAAAGTTTAATTAAACTAGTACATGTTTTTTATCAAAAAAAATTAAATTTAACAAAGTAAATATTAATGAGACACTTGAGATTGCATATTCTGTACTATTTGGTTGATTCTAGGATCTGTTTTTGCCAGAGCTATTATCAGGTCGCTATCGACATCATGACGATTCCGCTGTTTAGTTATAATTAAAACTAGAGCAGAAAAAAAAGTTTCTGAAGCATAGGTGGCGATAGGAAATATCAATGTTCGAACAAGGCGCAATTTTGGGTTTTTTGAGATGTCAGTGTTCTTCCAAATTTTTGTAAGTTTGGCTGTTGCCGATCTGGTCATCGTGATGCGTCGACGGATCTCGTCTTCACATCTTCCACTGTTCGTAATAACCGAACCCAAATTTAAATTGCCTGGCCACTTCGTAACCTGCCATGATTCTTATCTCTGCCTGGTTGTAGTCCAGTTACTGAGAGTTTTTACCTCCGAATTCTTTATAACTAAATCGATTCATTTGAAATTTTGTGTGTTGGTAAATAATTACTCAAGGAACAAAAGTTATATAGTGCCGATGTGCGCTTCCACCCTGGGAAATTTGCCACCAAATTTTTTCACTCAAAATAACCACGCTATTCGATAGAAGGACAAATTTCAAACAAAAAATGTAGTAAACATTTTTTTCGCTAGATCAATACTTTTTGAGTTATTCGCTGTTGAAAAGTGTCATTTTTCGTTAAAAAAAAACATGTTTTTCAAAGGATTTTTAAGAATAGCTCTGAAACTAAGAGTTTTATCAAAAAAAGTGAAACGACTAAAATTAAAGCTCATAAAAAAAAAAAGATTGATTTTTAATGAATATTTTCAGTTCAATATTAACTGAGTTATGGCTGTTCAAGAAGGTTTGTTTTTGTTTTTGTCTTTCAATATAAGTATTTAACGTTAAATAACGGAAAACGGGTACATTTTTCGACAAAAACTCATATAATATTTTTAAAAGAGCTTGAAAAGGCCTTTAAAATGAGTGGTGGTAAAAGTCCTTTGCACCAACTGTACGTGAGATACGATCAAAAAAACGATGGGTTTCTCAAATTTTTGTAAAAAAAAACGCAATAAAACTAACGTCATGTTCACTAGGATTGAAATAAATTGTTTTCCTTATAGAATTCACTTTATTTTCGTGTTTTTTGTATGATATAAAAGTTTAGCCACTTTAGAATACCCAGTTTTTGAAAAAAGTATTACAACATTTTTTTTGTAAATATTAAAAAAAAATCTTTTTTTATAATAACTTCAAAACTATAAAAGATACGTAAAAGATGACACAATAACAAAAAATAGGTTATTTTTCAACAGAAATTTTCATTTTTTAATTTTTTTTGTAGCTTAAAAAATAACGGAGATATAGTAGGTTGAAGTTTGCTTTATAGCGCATGAACCACTGGTCTCCGACCATTTGACCCTTCACCCTTTAAACATGAGGACTTTAGAATGTTTTACCATTCCTATACTTATAGCTCGTTAAATTATCTGTAAAATCGTTTTTTTTATGCATGTTGTAGCATCAAAACTAACCGAGTTATTGTAAAAAAAACCAATAGTTAGTACTTTTTAGAATAAATTTTGGAGCATGGAAGAATTTTATAATTTGGAGCATTGGAGCATTTCGATGGAACTAATAGTCATTTAATATATACATATGCATCTATGTATCTTCTTCTTGCAGTACCGTCTCCTATCGTAGGTTGGCTACCATCACAGCAATCTTTACTTTGTTGGCTGCAGCTCTGAACAACTGTATTGAACTGCACCCATACCACTCCCTTAAATTTCGCAACCAGGAAATCCTCCTACGTCCCACATTTCTCTTTCCCGAGATTTTTCCTTGGATTATGAGTCTAAGCAGAGAGTACTTTTCTCCTCTCATTATGTGGCCCAGATATTCCAGTTTTTTCATTTGTATGGTTTTTATGACTTCGCATTCCTTCCCCATCTTCAGCAGAACATCTTGATTTGTTACTCTTTCTGTCCATGGTATTTTCCACATTCTCCTGTAACACCACATCTCGAATGCCTCAATGTTTTTGATGTTTATCTTTTTCAGTGTCCAGGCTTCCATGCCATACAGCAGAACAGAGAAAACATCAGATACATATCTATGTATCTGATGAATAGATATTCATTTATTTTATACCTCGTTTTATATAAATATTATTTATTTTAGTTTTTTGGAAAATAAAAAAATTGTAATATATTATAAACTAATTTTTTTCTATTTATGTCCATGTCTAAGTTAAGGATTTAAGAATTTTATTTTCATCAAAAGGGGTGCTTGTAAGGGTTGGAAAAAGTAGGCTCATTTTATAAGTAAAAAATTAATTTTTGTCTACAAACAATGTACTCTAAAAATGCAAATGTTTCAAACCGATAAAAATATTTTTTAATTCATTTTTGTCATAAGAGTGGTTGTAAGGGTTGAAAATTTCCAATAAATAAAAATATTGTATTGCTAAGGTATTAATTTTTATTTGTATTTAAATACATAATTGAAATGACTCAAGCTGCTACGACTTTTTTTTCATATTATTTTTATAAAAAGTATTAGCTTTTAAGGGTTTTTAAAAGGTTTTAAGGGTTGAAAATTGTGAATAATTAATTTTCATATTAGAGAACACATTACAATATTTACCTTATGCGAATAAACAAGATTTAAGTGCATAAAATAATTAAATCCGTGTTTTCACAGTTTCACAACTGGAGTATTGTTTCTGATTCTATCGATGATCATCACTTTGGTGTTCTGCATATTTATTTTCAAACCATATTCCTTACTCACCGTGCCTAGCCTATTCATAATTTTGATGTAGGAATGCTTGACGCTTGTAGTATAAGCTTACTGGGCTTTTGCTGAGTTGCAGATTTTGTGTTGTTTAACATTTGATTTATCTTCTGATTTTGTGTTAGCTGTTGGTTGTAATATTGTAACATTTTTTAATATCAGCACTACCGCCTTGCAAGGTTTCTCTTTGGTCGTATTATTTACCACTGGTTCCTTATCTTTTAGCTTGGATTCATAAATTTGTGTTAATACGGTATCATCTCTTAATACTTGCCCTACCGTATCGTTAGATTTGTCTTCAGTTTCAAATTTTTTATTATTTATTAAATGTTCATTACGTTCCGATTTGTTTTCATTATTTTTTATTGATGTTATAAGAGCAACTGAACTACCATCTCTTGAGGTTTTTCTTCAGTATCGGTTTCTTTACTATCTAATAATGTGTCGTTAGCTTCCGACTTGGTTTCACTTGTTTGACCTAAACTTTCTGTTAGTTTTACTTCACTTGTGACATTTATTATAACTGAGGATGTAATGGGTTATTCGTTATTCATAATTTGTTCCAGTTCTTCTGGTGATGACGCCAATATAACAGTGTCATCAGCATAACGTAAGTTTTTGATTTTTCTTTCTCTATCGTTGCTTCACCTGCCATTCCTCAAAAGCTTGACGCTTGACGTTTAACCCAGTCATTTGTCCAATTTCCGGTATTCCAGATCTCATTGCAAATTCTAAGCATTACTTCCGTCACTAATTCTCCCATTTATTTGAGTGTTTTAGCTGTTACTCCAACTTCTTCTTCTGCTTTTCTAAATTTTAGCTTTTTAATTGCCGCCTCAATGTCTGATTTCAATATTTGAGGTTCTTTTTCATAACTTCTTTTTTCTGTATTATTGTCTGGGTCGTTGTTAGAGAATAGTATTTTGCAATATTGTTTTCACACCTCTGTGTATGCGGTTTGAATTCTCTCGCCAGATACTTGACTTTTGAGAAAAGTTCTCTAGATTCTTGGCGGTCAGTTCCTCTAGTTGTACACATATGTTTTTAATATACTAATTATTATTGTCCCTTCTGCACAAGTGTTTTATAGTTGAATTTATGGTGCATATCTCTATTTCTTGTTGTTTTGAACTTGATGTGCCGTTTCAAAGTTTTCGTCTTTCTTTTACAAGATTTAGAGTCTCTTCAGTTCAATATTTATTCCTAGCTGTTTTGTCTTTGGGATTAGTATTGTTGATGACTTCAGTGATCCATTTCTTTGTGTATCAAAATCCACGTTTTGTCAGGGTCCCACATTTCTTTGTGTATTCCCTCGTTTAATGGTAAATAATTACAAGTAGCTGGGAGCTATAATAAACGAGAAGTGATCAAAATGTCGAGATAAAAAGACGTATTGAAATTGGTAGGTCCAAACTATTTAATAATCATGACATCAGTCTCTCTACGAATAAGAATGTTAAGAAAATATGTTTTTATGAATGTTAAGAATAAGTTGGATTAACCGATTCACAAATGAAGGAGTATTAAGGCGAATGGGCAAAAGGCCTGAAGTAATACTTACCATAAAAAATAGAAAATTGAAATAATTGGACTACTAATGAGGGGAGAAAATATGACATTCTTGCAAAATATCATGCAGGGAATGATTGAAGAATGAAATGTCTGGATGAAATTATAAGAGAGTGGTTTGGTTGCACCACAAACAAACTGTTTAGAACGGATGTAAACAAAGTTCGAATAGCCCTGATGGTATCCGATCTCCGATAGGAGATGAACGGGAAGAAGTGAGCAGGACATCCAACCAGCGTAAATAAAAACTAGAATAAACTTGAGATAATGGGGTGGTGCCAAGCTTAAGCTAACTAAGACCTAACGTAACACCAATTATAATGATTAAAACATTGCTAATATTTATCCTTAATAGTTAATATGAACCTAGATATTATGATTATCTACTAAAAACAGTTAATACATACAATATAGTGTGATTTATAATTGCAAATTTATGCTAAGTTTCTATTCACTAGCGCCATAAACGTCATAAACGCATTAACTCTTTCATCACAAAAGTACTATATTTATAGATAGTAATTTTAACAAAAAATTGATAAAGACTGTAGTTAAATACTTACTTAAGGGAAGAATGGAGCTTTGTAGCCTTCGTGATGAAATCCTCCCATAAAGGCATTCCATTCTTAAAAAAAAAAAGAAAAAAAATTAGCGAAATAGCTTGACAAATACTTATTAAAGATACTAACATATTAGGATAATATAAGAATGTGTGCTATATGTTCATTGTAATTTAAATTTTTTGTGCTCGTCTTTGCATCTATCTTTACTCAAAGCAAAAGTTTTATAAAATTATTTAATGCGTTTGTTGAAATATCAACATATTTTGTTTCTAATTTAATTGCCGCTCATAATGAGTCAAAATTTCGCTGACAAAGGCGCCGCTATCGGGCGATATAGACTTGTTTAAAAAATAAACGCCGTTGTGCTAAAAGCGCATAGTAAGCTGTCGGGATATTGAGACTTCGCAATAATTATAAAGACACTAAAGACAGATCAGATCCTCAGTAAGACTAGTTTATTTGATTTTTGTTTGCGGTAGGTACTGATTTATATTATATTTTAGGGCATACGTTTACAATGAATTACGAGAGGGAACAAGAATGGCTGTTGCGGCTTCATGGGGAAGTTTTAAATGATTCAGAGGCAGAACCAGATTATGATGATGTGAGTTTGATAGACGACCATATTATAGAAACTATTGAGGATATAGACTCGGAAGAGGAGTTTGAAAATCAACAAAACTTACCTATTCTTGAAGAAACCCCTTGTACCTCAAGAATACCCTGCCTTATCGGTAAAGATGGAACTACCAGGTGGCGAAAATATCCTGCATCAGCACGGAATGTTCGATCACGCGCTGAAAATATTTTCACACATTTACCTGGACCTAAGGGAGATATAAGGCATAAAAATAAAGCTTCAGAAATATGGAATGCTTCTTTTCTCCAAACATATTGGAAAAAATTGTTACACCAACAAATTTATAGAAATGTAAATCTATGACGTTTCACAAAATCGTTCTTTTAGACCGACTGATTTATTAGAAATAAAAGCATTATTGCGACTTATATATTTCTGGTGCTAGTAAAATTCACCGGAGAAACGCTAAAGATTTATTTAGGACAGACCAAAAAGACATATTCTGTTAGTATCAACTATGCATTACGATGAAAACCGGAAATAATCATGGACTACAACAAAATGCGCTGTCGACGTTGTTGACAAAATGTACGAAGCCTACAATTGCGCTCGTGCAACTCGTCGTTGGCCAATGGTCATATTTTTATAGTGCCATGAACGTTGCTGGAATAAATAGTTACATCATTTACACCTCGAATACCCAAACAAAAATCGATAGAAGAAATTTCTTAGAAAATTTAGGATTTCAGTTACTTAGCCCACATATTCGTCGCCGAGCACAACAGGAAAAACATTCCCAGGATAATGCGTTTACGTCTTTCTGAAATATGTGGTATAGAAACTGAGAATATTGCTCCAAAGAATCAAAACTCATGGACGATGTACGTACTGCAGCACTACAAAAAGTCGAAGAACAAGATATTCTTGTGCAAACTGTAAAAAATATTTGTATCTAGAATATCTGACGGGATTATGTAGGCTACAGAATAATAAACAATCAGAATGACCACTCTCAGATGCCGCCTTTGAACTTTTTCAGCACGCGCGCCATGTTTTAGAAGGAAACACATAACACAGACATATGATTTGTGAGGTTATGTAATTGTTTATATTTATGTTATTATAGTTAACAATGTTTAATATAATTGTATAGTATGTCTATGATTGCCTTAAGTCAATTAAACCGGGTTAATTTTTCTATGCACACCACATAAACAACACTGGTTCCCTCTAAAACATGGCGGAACGTCTGCGCGAAGGAGATGCGCGTACTTAATCTTCCATGGAGAGTGGGCATTCTGATTTTTTTGAAAATTATGGTGCCCAAAATTTGGAATAGTTTCAGTAATCTGTGTAAATTTTGAGAGTAAAATTTTATTTTCCCTGTTTATGTTTTAGTGGAACCAGAATTATTTTTTTTTTGTTATAATTACTTATTTTGATTTTATTAAAAGTACCTATGTTCATAAAAATGACACTTTTTTTCATACCCCCTTTAAAATGATTTAAATAACAAAAAAATTATAAATTTCATATATTTGTATAGAGAATAATATACACAATTATATTATTACAAATATTATCACCTATAGCTAAATTTCTATTTTTTTTTTAATTTTAGAAAAAGTCGGTTTGTTAGACCGACGTTATCAAAAAAATTAAAATGTTTCACGTTATCTGCGGAAGATTAAAGATAAATCGTCTCTATTTTCTCGTACATTTAAGTAATATAAATTGTATTGTAACATAGCCTAGTAGTGAATAGCTTGTTAGTAAGTCAAAATAATTTGTAATTTTACAAAATTACAAATTGGAGGCCAAGAGCAGACAAACGCAGTAGAGGAAGACCACCTACACGTTGGCCGACGACATCAGGCGTATCACTAAAAATTGGCAACAAAGAGCACAAAATCGTGAGGAATGGAGGAATTTAAGGAGGCCTATGTCCAGCAGTGGACGTGATAAATAGAGGCTGGATGATGATGATGATGATGATGAAGTCAAAATAAAGATTATGTGCATTTTACCTCTGGTGCTGATTAATTTGGTAGCAGTTTTCCCAATCGAAGAAAAAATATTTCAACCCATCTTATGTGTGTGAGATTGGAACAAGGATCCGCACACTTATAAAAGGAAAACATGTTTGCAATGTTAGTCATACTGCACAACGAAATAAATTAAATGCTGCAGAAAACTATAGAATTATAATAAAAGCACAAAACTGAATATAAAACAAAGCAAGGCTTAAAAAAATGGCGCGGAAGAAAAAAGTAAACTGATGTAACAGCAAAATTCTTTCAAAAGATTCAGACAGAATAACCACCATTCTAAACGCAATATATGGTGGTGTACAAGTGGTAAACACGTGTACCGTGTGTATTAACTAGTGATGTAACAAATGTCATTTTTTAAACATTCGCGAATGCGAATGCGAATATATGCCACCGACATTCGCGAATGCGAATGCGAATATTCAGTTTTTTTTTAATTTGGCAATTTTAATTGTCTCCGGCACTGCCGGCAGTCTCATTTGCGCGAGGTGTGTAGGCAATTGGAAAAAGTCTGTCATTTTTAACTGCTTTAAATTGTCCAGTATCATTCTATCATATTTGCTAAAGTATGTGAAACAGTTGTATTTATTGTAAAGAAGTTTATTGTAGGCGGTTAAGTTATTGAGGGGTCGTTTAAAAAGGTATTTATTTATAGTCACGTCCGGGCCAAAAACGTAGAAAGCATAATTTCGATCTTATTTTCTCCTGTTATAATCAAATTTGACTTGTTATAGAGAGAAAGTTATAGCAGAGAACTAAGTTCTCTGGTTATAGTTCCAATAAAAATTTCACGGACACAAGTCACTCCACTTGCCCTGCTCTGCTCGTACACAAATACAAGTGAATTTTTAGTTAAAGTGTGATTAGTGATTTATTACTATAAGTAAATCAAATTACAGTGAAATATGGACTTATTTTTCACCACTTTTCGATACTGAACGAGCTAAATGCAAGCTGTGTAATATTCGCAAAACATTCGCACACATTTTGCGAATGCGAATGCAAATGCGAATATGCAAAAATATGCGAATATTCGCGAATGCGAATATTCGTTACATCACTAGTATTAACCATAGCATGGTAATTGGTAATGGTACAATCGTGTCGCCGGCGACATCCCAGTTTCGATTAGATGCAGTCAGTACGTTCCTAGAGAGGGAAGGCTTAGATTCTCAGTACCTTTACCTCTTTCTCTGTTATTAGTATTAGTTTCAAATCAACTGTAACCGTAACTGTTTATCGGGCGCTAATAGCTATTGTAAAATATTTATCTGTGTGACATACGACACCACAGTACAATTCCCGTTATAATTTTGAATATAGAAGTAAATGGCTTCAACAAGCAAAGCGTTGACTAAGGCTGAGTTAGAAGAAATTGCGCGTACTTATGAGGCTGGTGAGAGTGATGAAGATGTCCCTTTAAATAATCCAGCATCTGAATGTTTGAGTGAGGATAAAGACAAAGAGCTTAGCAAAAGTGAACATTACGATACCATTTTAGCAGAACCAGAGGTTAGTGAAGAGGAGGTGAAGATTCGCAGAAAGATAGCGATCAAAAAAGAAAAGTAGTATATGGAAAAAAAGGTTTTAACTGGTATAAAACTCCGTTTTTCTCAAAAAACACTCATAGTTCAAAAAAACATAGTGCTTCGTCTACCAGGTACAAACGCTCACGCTTCAAATACACAAGAAGAGATTCTGGCTTGGAAACTATTTTTCAGCGACTCAATGACAAACTATATTACTCAATACACAAACCAAGAAATCTCTAAACAATCTACTAAATTTAGTCAAACTCCCAATTTTTACAACTGTTACAAGCAAGGAAGAGATTTTGGCCTTATTCGGTCTTTTATATACATATGAGTGATGTTTTAAAAACTAGCTACCTGAGTACCTCGGATTTATGGTCAAAACAAATTGGAATACCAATTTTAAGAGCAACAGTGTTACAAAAACGCTTTGAATTTTTGATTAATTGTCTTCGTTTTGATGACAAAACAACTACAGCAAAGGAAACGTGATGATACATTTGCACCTATAAAATTTCTTTGGAATGAATTTATTAAAAATTGTGAAGCTAATTACACTCCTGGCGCATATGTAACAATTGATGAACAGTTTTCGGAGCAGATGTCCTTTTAAAGTTTATATTCCAAATAAACCAGACAAATATGAAATTAAAATGCTATGTTGGGCGTACTCATAAGACTTTTTATACGTAATCTGCAAAACCATATGAGGGACGAGATGCATCAGAAACTTTGCCCACCCAATACGTTCTTCGCCTATGCAAAAATCTCTATGGCATCAATAGAAATTGGATAATTGGTTTTCGTCCTCAGATCTTGCAGAAAAGATTTTACAAAAAAAGTTGACAATGGTTGGAACCTTATAAAAACAAGTCTGACGTTCCGCCAGAATTTTTAGA